AATACAACAGACAATCAAAGGAGAACTCTGAAAGGTGGAAAGGGGGAAAAAAGTGATCTGGATAGGGGCCCGGTATTGGAGAAACAACACAGCAGCAGGGTTTCTTACAACCCCTTTTCCAACAGAAGAAGATGACCCGGGCCTGGTGTTTCTTGACCCCTGGCTTAGCAATAGAAAGTGGCCCAGGTAGGCTCATTCCTCCACTGGATCAAGTGGGAGTTCCACTAGTAACAGTAGGCAGGCCTAACAAAGCCTGCAGGAAGGATTGGAAACCCTGCCAGCAATGAGTGGCCCCCAGGAGATTTCTCTCCCTTATGACGAACTCCTTCCACTTTTCAAGCAGAACTGGCAGAGAGAGTCCTAGTAAGTTCCCACTTCAAGGAATTAGAATAAGCAGAGCAAAAAACTCAAAGCAAGCAGAAGGGAAGAGATGATAAAGATAAGAGCAGAAATCAATGAAACAAAGTGAGAAAATCAGTGAGACAAAAAGCTGGTTCTTTGAGAAAAAAAATCAATAGAATTTATAAAACTGTAGCATCACTGACAAAAATAAAGAGAAAGCACAAAGTACTGATATCAGGAATGAAATACGGAGTATTACTACAGATAACTGCAGCCATTTAAAGGATAAGGGAATGCTATGAACAACTCTTTGCTCATAAGTTTGACAACTTAGGAGAAATGGACCAATTCCTCGAAAACCACAAACTGCCAAAACTCAACCAAGATGAAATAGATAACCTGAATAGTCTTGTAACCATTAAATAAATTGAATTCATAATTTAAAAGCTCCTGAAAAAGAAATCTCCAGGGCCATATGGTTTTACCTGAGAATTTTACCAAACATTCAAAGAAAAATCAACACAGATTTTACAATCTCTTCCAGAAAATAAAAGAGGAAAGAACAATTCTCAACTGATTTTACGAGGCCAGTATTATACTTGTTTTGGTAAACAAGGCAAAGACAGTACAAAAAAAAAAAATTAAAAATCAATATCTCTCATGAACTTAGTTACAAAAAACCTCAACCAAATATTAAAGCAAATCCAACAATATATGTCGGTAATTATACACCATGACCACGTGGGACTTTTTCCAGATATGCTGGTTTATTATTTGAAAACCAGTCAATGTGATCCACCATATCAACAGGCTAAAGAAGAAAAATCGTGTCTTATCAGTTCACACAGAAGAAGCATTTAACAAAATCCAGTGCCCGTTAATGATTTAAAAAAAAAAAAAACTACCCTGGAGAAGGACATCGTGCTTGGTAAAGTAGAGGGTCAGCAAAAAAGAGGAAGAGCCTCAACAAGATGGATTGACACAGTGGCTGCAACACTGGGTTCAAACATAGCAGTGATTGCGATAATGGTGCAGGACCAGGCAGTTTTTCATTCTGTTGTGTGTAGGGTCACTGGGTTGGAATTGACTCAACGGCACCTAACAACATCATCATCAATAAATGCATGTACTAGTTTCACTACAGTATAACCAGCATGGATTCTTATCAGTAACTTTTGAAAAATTTTATAAATACCTTTATTCTTCCACTTGTAGAAATAAAAAAAATGCTTGTAAAAAAAAAAAAAGAGGAAGAGAGGCTAGCTATGTCAACAATATAGAGCATCTACAAAAAACCTACAGCTAACATCACACTATGGTGAAAGACTGAATACCTTTCCTCCAAGATCAAGAGCAAGGATGTCCAGCTTAACATTGGAAGTTCTAGCCACTGCAGTAAGACAAAAAGAAGAAATAAGAAGCGTATAGATTGGAAAAGAAAAAATAGAACTGTCCCTATTCATATAGGACATGATGTCACATAGAAACACCTAGAACCAATAAGTGAGTTCAGTGAGTTCTCAGGATACAAATCAACACACAGAAATCAATTCCATTACTATGTATCAGCAGAGAACATGTAGAAACCAAAATTAAAAACAATACCATTTACAGTCATTCAAAGAAAATTAAACACTTAAGTATAAACTTAACAAAGCATATACAGGATCTGTAGGCTAAAAATTGCAGAATACTGATAAAAGAAATCAAAGAAGACCTAAATAAGTAGAGAGGCACACTGTATTTGTATTAATGAATTGGAAGACTCACCATAGTAAAGATGTCAGTTTTCCCCAAATTAGTCTGTAGGTTTAATGCAATTCCTATCAGAATCCCAGCAAGGTTTTTTCATAGGCATAGACAAGCTTATTCTAGAATTTATATGGAAAGGTGCAGTCCCTAGAAGCTAAAACAGTCTTGAAAAAGAGGCATAAAACGGGAAGAATCACTCTATCCAATATTAAGGCCTACTATATGGCTACGGAGCCTTGGTGGCACAGTGGTTAAGAGCTTGGCTGTTAACCAAAAGGTCAGCAGTTCTAATCCACCAGCTGCTCCTTGGAAACTCTATGGGGCAGTTCTCCTCTGTCCTGTAGGGCCACTATGAGTCAGAATTGAGTCTACAGCAACATGTTTGGGTTTTGTTTGTTTGTTGTATAGCTACAGTAATCATGATAGTGTGGTATTGGCAGAGGCAGGATCAGGGACGGATTACCCAATAAGCGAGGCATGCACAGGCTTACTTGTGCTTACTTACAATCTGTAGTAAGGAACCAAAACGTGAACTTACGCACTTCAAATTACTAAGTAAGCACAAGTAAGCCTGTGCATACCTTGCTTACTGGTTAATCTGCCCTTGGGCAGGATAGACACATAAATCCAGTGGGACAGAGTAGAGAACCCAGAAATAGAGCAATACAAATATGCCTCAGTGTTATTTGGCAAAGGTACAAAACCAGTTCAATAAAGGAAGGGTAGTGTTTTCAACAAATAATGTTAGAACAATTGGACAGAAAAATGAACCGTAACCTAAACCTCATACTTTATACAAAAATTAATTCAATTTAATGAGAAACTAATGTGCTCTGTAAACTTTCACCTAACGCACAATTTTAAAACAAATTAATTTTAAAAAATTAATTCAAGATGGATCATGGACTTCATTGTAAAACTGTAAACCTTTTAGGAAAAAAATGGGAGAAAATCTTCCAGAACCTAGGGCTAAGTTCTTTCTTAGACTTCACACCAAAAGTGTGATCTGCTAAAGGAAAAATTGATAAATTGAACCTTGTCAACATTAAAAATTTCTGCTCTGGGACAGTCTTATTAAGTGGATGAAAAGACAGGCTATAGACTGCAAGAAAATATGTTCAAACCACATATCCAACAAAGAACTACTGTCTCGAATATATGAAGAACTCTCAAAACTCAACAGTAAAAACACCAACAATCCAGTTGGAAGGAGCAGAAGATAAAATGACACCAAATGGTGGCAGGGATGCAGAGAAACTGGATCATTGCTGGTTGGACTGGTACAGCCACTCTGGTAAAACAGTTTGGCAGTTTCTTATTAAACCAAACATGCAACTGCCATACGTATGACTCAGCAGTTACACTCTTCGGGCGTTTAACCCAGAGAAATGAAAACATATGTTCACGAAAACCTGTACCCAAATATTCATAGTAGCCAAAAACTGGAAACACTCCAGTTGCCCTTCAACAAGTGAATGGTTAAACTGGTACATACATACCACAGAATATTACTTGGTAAAAAAAAAAAAAGAACAATCTATCAATTAATTATGCAATAAATTTATCAATTAATTTATCAAGGAAATTACACTGAGTGAAGAAAGTTAATCCCGAAAGTTACATACTGTATTATTCCATTTATGTAACATTCTTGAAATAACATGAAAATAGAGAAGAAATTCTTGGTTGCCAGGGGTCAGGGACTGGAAGGGGCTGGAGAGAGGGGTGTGGCTATAAAAGGGCACCAAGGATCCTTTTGGTGATGGATCTTGACTATGTCAATGTCAGTATCTTCATTGTGATACTGTAGTATATTTTTTCCTTATTATGTATTTTTAATATTGTCCTTTAGGTGAAAGTTTACAAACCAGAATAGCTTCCCATTCAATAGTTTGTACACAGAATGTTCCAAGACATTGGTCACAGTCCCCTCCGTATGTCAGCACTCTCCCCATTTGTACTATAGTTTTGCAAGATGTTACCTTTGGGGTACACTAGATAAAGGGCACACTGGATCTCTGTTTATTTCTTAAAATTGCTTATGAATCCAGAATTATTTCAAAATAAAAAGTTTAATTAAAAAAAAAAAGCATAATGATACCTGCCCTTCCTGTTTCGGAGAGTCATTATGAGTATCACAGGAGGTAGAAGTTGAGATGAGCTGTGATAGTATCATGGTGGGTGCACATGGTAGGCCATGAGCTGTACCCATCAGTGTGTTTGTTTTCGCTTATATTTCTACTCTACCTTATTCAGAAGTACTTATCGTAGCTTTTAAGTATTGTCCATTTAACTATTAAGCAGGTATTTTTTGAGGGCTTTGTTTGTGTTGGTCACATTGGGAATAACAAATGGTGGGAAAAGAAGTGTAATTGACTAAAGTCAGCCCCAGCACTCTCATCTCACATGTGAACAGTGTTGATTGTAGGATGGATCTGGAGCTGGTATTTGTTTTTAAAGCTTTTTTTTTTTTTTTTTTACTGTAACAATTTTAATTCTACATTTTAAGTTTTAAGAGACTCATAAAGGTTTTAGTGTTTGATTAGCCAATTAACTTGGTTTTCATTTAGACCTTTTAATGGGCAGCATTTTTTTGTTCTTGATAATACATAATAATAATGATACATCTGCCACTTAGTGGCATCTTAGGCTCCGTGAGATCTAGTAATAACATCTAAAACTATTTTTTGCAATTATCATCTGATTATTTTACCTGTCCTGATTTTTATTAAAGTTTTGGAGGGCAGCTTTTTTTTTTTTTTTTTGCCTCCTATAGAGGGACTGAACAATTTGAGGATCTGGTGGTAAATTCAGTAATATTCCATGGTGATAATATTTATATATACTCAGATGTTGAAACTGCATTTCCTCTTATTCTTTTTTCTTTCTCTCCTTTGTTTTTCAAGTGTCAATATACAGTATTTGGTTTTATGACAAGAATGACTGTCACCGCATAGCCAAACTCATGGCCAAGTAAGTATTTATATTACCCCAGAGATTTAATTAACGGTATATGAGAGATGAAAAAATAACTTTTTTCTCTCACTTCTCTTTGTTACCATCATCTGTTAACTTACGTATTTCCCCTGATTTTCTATTTGTTGTCAAAAATTTGGGGAAGAAATCTAAAGTTACCTATAATCTTGCTACCCCATTGTTAGCATTTCAGTCTGTTTCTTCCCATCTTCCCATCTTTTTCTCTGTGTGTACATTAGGTTGATGTGTGTGATCATTTTTCATAAAAATAGGGTGTCATAGGTACATCCTGCTTTTCATGTCAGCAGCATTTTTCCAGGGCATTGATAAGTTTAATAGTCCTCCATCCTATTTTATAGTGATTGCGTTGTATTCAGTCCTGTGAGCAGATCATAATTTAACCAGAACCTAACTGTTCAGTGTGCCAGTTAGGGCCATCGCGCTGCCAAGGAGATCATCAGCCTGACTACTATATGCAGTGGTTCTGATTTAGGTTCTGATCAGGCCCTGTGTGGGAGAATTTGGCTCTTTTAGTTCTAACAAGTTTTAGAGAAAACCAATTTGAGATTTTTTTCTCTATCAAGTCAGGTGGTACCCCTAATGCTTCAGGTGGTAAATGAAGCTAAACATTGATGACTTATCTGAAAATATTATATTGAACACCAAAATGGGATGAGTAAGTAGAAACAGGAAGCAGGGAGGGGAAAGAAGAGCATGCAGGGCTCTTTTCACTAGAAATACCTGAAAGAGCAACATTTGCTTAAGTTTTTAGTTTGTTTGACGAGGGGGGAGGTCTTAAAAGTTATTAGAGAATGCCCATGTGAAACTGTTGGTAGGTCAGGTTTCCAAGTGGCTGGCCAATTTATGGCTGAAGAGAATACCTTATATATTAACATTAACTCTAGTAGATTACTTTTCTGGTCACCAGAGATTTAAAAAAAATTACCTTTCTTTGCTCTAAATCTGCCTGCATACAGCGTCTATTTGCTACACGTTTCAGAATATCACCTCTGTGAACCAAAGCTATAGGTAAAACTCTTTGGCATATTGTGCCTCTAAATAAATAAATGTGCCTGTTAATGCCCATTTGTTAAATTCAGTTCTTCCTATCACTATTTTGACAACTGCAATGTAATAGAAATTCTGCAAGTAAAAAAACTGATTTATTCCAAAAGATGTTTATAAAAAGCGAGAAGCTACATAGATCGAGTGAGCTTCTAGAACTTCTAGACCTGTGCTATTTCTAAATTTGGAAATTCTTGGGTGACTAGCAGGACAGAGTTGAAAATCACTAAACTCAGAAAATGCCGACTCTCCTAAAGAGAAAATCTAGTCTACCAAAAAAACTATTTTTAACATTAAAAGCTTTTGAATGTTTCCCGCATAGACTATAAAATTTGGAGAACTTACAGAAGTGAGTTTCTTCCTATTAACTTATGTATTTCCCCGATTTTCTATTTGTTGTCAAAAATTTGGGGAAGAAATCTAAAGTTATCTATAATCGTGCTTACCCCATTGTTAGCATTTCAGTCTGTTTCTTCTCCTCTTTTTCTCTTTGTGTACATTAGGTTGATGTGTGTGATCACACAAATAGTCTCGGGCGCAATTGGGTGCTTGAGAGGACAGAAGAGATATGGGGTCGCTGTTCATAGTGCTTGAACCGGAAGGGGCCTTAGAGTCCAAGCCTTTCTCATGTGAGAGTCCCTTGCACACCACCCTTGCCAGCTTGTGTTTTCAGCAGTTGTGAGCTTTTTCCAGTGGCCTGTCCGCAGGTGTGAACAGTGATTATTATTAGAAGTGTTCTTCTTTTAAACCAAAGCCTCATTTCCGGTCCAGGTTCAGGGGACAGTTGAATTCCACCATGGCCAAGCCAGGCAACACGGCAGGAAGTAGATGGAAAAGAGGCTTTGTGACAAGAGTCGTTCATGAAGTTGGATTCAGACTGAGTATTCAGTCAACAAACAAGTCGTTTTAAATAGCATTCTTTTTTTCTGATTAGTAAAGAGTGCATGTTAATTGTGGCAAATGCCCAAAAAGTACAAAAAAAAAGAATATGAAATTGCTTGTACTCCACCATTGAGAAATAACTAGTATGTATCTCTCCAGTCTTCTTTTTCTTTTAAACAAGTCTCATAGTTGTGACAAGGCAGTATTTCTTTTCCAGGAATTAATTACCAGCATAAATATAAAATATACTATAGTATTAATATAAATTGATCTGATCTTCATATCACATTCTAGTCATCTTTCACTCTACCATATGTCCATGATTCTATATTCATTTTAGAAGTAATAATCTTATTAAGAGCTGTAATAATTTAAATAGAGAAACTACACATTACCTTAAAGCAGCATTTTCCAAACAGGAGTCCTGCCTCAGAGAAAGATTCTATAGTCAAATAAGATTGGGGAACATCTGCAAGTCCACCCTTCTTGGAGAATCACAGTATACTCTAGCATGTCAAGCATGTTGATGTGTTTAGCATGTCAGAATAGTTCTACTGTAAAGAAATCTGTTAAACATGGTTTAATTCCACGTTTTCTAATAAAATACCCCATCTGTGCCTATTACACCCACCCCACCATGGGAGTTCTTGGATAGGCTGCTTTAAAACAGTGAAGTGACACTGAGTGGTTTATTCCTGGCCTATTCCTCTTATTCTACAAAACAAGCCTTGCACAACTGAATTGTTTTATTGCCTGTCATCATCACTGTCTGGGAAGTTCTGTGTCAAGTTGTGTCTGTGCTCATAATATCCTATGGCAGGTAGGCCTGTTCATTCACTTAGGACTAAAACCTGAACAGATGTCCAAAAAAAAATCAGTTGTCCTATTAAAATCTATTGTTTACTTTACAAAAGATTTCAAGCTTGAAAAAAATATTAAGAAACAATATAACAGATATCTATGTGCTCACTACCCAGCTTTCAGTTCCTAATATTTTGCTATAAATACTTGAAACATTTGTATGCAGGGGAGCAGGGATATTCTTAAGAAATGAAACCCCACAGATAGATTTGGAGACTCCCCAACCCTATATTAACCTGTGACTTTTCTTGCTTTATGTGTTTTCAGATGAAAAATTAGCTTAAGCAACCCCGATCAAAATAAAGAGCATTCCCCCAAACACCCTTGAGCTCGGTTACTTACTTGGTGATTTTTAAGGAGGAGAATAAGAGGAACCTTTTCGTTTGTTTGTAGTACTGTCAGTAATGTCTGAAGAGTCACCAGGACCTCTATTTCTAAGAAACTAAGTTTTCTTTCTCCCACCTAGCCCAGTGTCAATACAAACTTTCCATAGAGGGTTGTTTAGCTTTACCGCCTTCCCATGCCTTGACAGGATTGTCCATTTTCACATTTACTTCAATTAATTTGACTGATTTTGAGATACTTCTAGAAAAAAAGAAACACTTTAATAGAGTTTTTAATGTACGTACTTCCACCAACTCCAGGAAAGAGTTCTATATTATTGTCTTTGTAAAGGTGAAAATATTAGTTGGCACTGTTGTGAATGACCTGGTGAAATGTTAAGTGTACATTGCTTGGATAAGGTGACCAAGGTTCCATGTTTTGTATTGCAAAGACAGTGTCATCACATGACACTCTTATTATGTCCTTGGAAGATGGACATCAAGAGTTCTTGGGTCAAATCATGTCTAAAGAGGCTTTTCTAACAGCTGTTCTCCTTCTCTAGTGTGGTAGAAGAGGAGACACGGCGGTCCCAGCAGGCTGCTCGGGATAAGCAGAGTCCCAACCAGGCCAATGGCTGCAACGACCACAGACCCATCGACATCCTGGAGATGCTGAGCAGAGCCAAGGATGAGTACGAGAGGGTGAGGCTCTCTGGGTGCTGACCAGGAAAGAGTGGAGGGACTGGGGAGGCCTGCAGGGGGCTCGTGGGCTGGGGAAGACTCCTTCAGGCCAGCAAAAGTAATTTATTCAAAAAGAAGCATATGTTACAGTTTTAAGGAAAGAAATCTGCTTATCTCAGAGTACTTGTTTTTGACAGGAAAAAAGAGTACTCGTTTTCTATTCCTGTCCAATTACTGTGAGAGAAAATGGTTTTGGAGTAGTGGAGTTAGCCTGCTGCGGGTATACTGGAAAAGCTTCATGCCTTGTCTCACCTCTGCAGCATCGGTTAGGGTGCTCGGTGACTTAGGAATTTGTGTAGGTATCATCTTTGGCTTTGAAAAAATATTCTGATAATTTGCACCCCTTAATACTGAAAGGGTATTTATGGTCTCTAATTGGTGTTAGATACACAGCCTTCCTTAAAATCATTTGGAACTTTACCCAAATGAGAGACTTTTCTCAGATTCTGTTTTTTCTTTTTCTTCTGTTGCATTTTGTCTTGTAAGTTAACTAATAACATTCTTCCAGAAAGTGAATGAAATGGAAGTTTTGGTACTTTAACTAATTTACGCAGCATGCGTTTATGAATTGTCCACTGTAGGCTAAGCACTCAGACAGTGGTTTTCAAAACTTTTTGGCTGTGGAACTTTTACAGCTTTCACATGATGTCAGTACCTCAAAGCGCCATGGTTCACTGGAGTGAGACAAAAGGTTTCCACTGCTATGCTTTGTTTCAGCAGAATTGTAATTATCACCCTACCCTTGGCTAACATTGAGTTAATACTTTTCTTTCATTTGTTATTTAATCTTCAGTTTATCAAAGGTTCAAGGAACAAGGTCTGAAAAGCACTGTCTAGGACCATGTTTCCCAAACAGCAGTAACCAAGGTTGTTAACAGGTGATCCTTGCTCAAATGAGTTGGGGAAGTGTTAACTTGACTCTTCCTCCCCGCATCATTTTGGGGCTTTATGGTGCTGAAGACTCTGAGCGGTCCCACAGTAAATAAAATGTAACACTGGTTCTCAGATTCATTTGATCACAGGACCATCTTTTGTGCACTCATTAACCAGTTAAAATCTGGAGTTCAGGGGACATACTGGCAAAGCACTCTGGGAGGTTGTTTCCTTTAATTAAAAATAAATGGTCATATATATCTGTGAAAATTTAATATAGGAAAATCAGTCATCTCTGTAATGAATCTGTTGATTCATTGGAAACTGAATGAGGGTAAATTTCAAGAACCGTTTTCTGAACTTCTTGGTTACCTCATATTCCCCAAACTCTTCATGTCTTTAATGAGATCTGAGTTTTTTACATAAGTACCTTCTTCCATTTTTATAGAGGCCTTTCTGGGTCCTGATAACAGATGACTAATAAGTCTAGGGCTCTGTTACCCATCCCGAGTGATGACTGGATGAAGGTGCCACATAGGACAGAAACTGTAGATGCGTTAGAGCACTGTAGGTACACATTCTCCAGGAAGGGGCCTGGCTTGCTTCTCAGGACGAGAAGCGAGCCACGAAAGGAAAGAAGGAAGTAGAGTAAAGCCTTGCCTTTGTACATAAAGCTGTAAAGGAACTCTGGGGTCAAGCGGGCAGTCTACAAATCTGATGGTCATTTCTGATTACGTAAACGTTGCAAAGTAAAAAAAACAGAGCACAGTAATTTCTGTCATCAGGATAATTCTTCCACAATGTGGAATAAATGTCTATGATTAGAGTAAAACTGAACCTTTTGGGATTTAGTTGAATCTTTGATACTTACAATGTGTTCTTTCTGTTTTTGAAAACTGTAAATAGGTGGTGCTTCCTTAAACAAGAGTTTTATTTTTCTCATCTGCGCTTCCTGTCATAACCAGATGGCGCTGGTGTTAGTAGTGACCCACGAATCCGTATCTTAGTATTTGGATGAGCTCTCCTGGACTGCTGCATGGTTTGGGTGGCCCCTTTGTTTATCTTAGATAGACACTGAGGAGATTGGCAGAGCCAAGGCAGGGCAGAGGTTCAAGCTAGCCCTCGGTGATGGGATTTACTCCCCAATCTAATCTCCTGTGTCCGGTGTGTATAATACAATGAGTGAAATTCCAGACTTTTGAGTAGAACATTTATAGTAATTAGAGACTTTTTGAAAATAAAAACTCTATAAAAAGCATTTTTTCCATAGCTCTTGTAGTTTGTTTTAACCAACTTTCTCTATTTTTAATGTAAAGAAGGATGGTTGAAACTACAGTCCTTAACAATTGGGCCCATTCTGAGTTGCTTCTAGCCACAGGATGTAATTCTGGACTTTTCTGGTGTTTGTTTGGTTTGTTGTTATGTTGCTATTAGATGCTGACGAGTTGGTTCCAAATCATAGTGACCCTGTATACAACAGAACAAAACACGCCATCCTCACAATCATTGTTATGCGTGAGCCCATTGTTGCAGCCACTGTGTCCGTCTCGTTGAGGGTCTTCCTCTTTTTCGCTGACCCTCTACTAAGCATGATGTCCTTCTCCAGGGACTGGTCCCTCCTGATAACATGTCCAGAGTACATGAGACAAAGTCTTGCCATCCTCCCTTCTAAGAAACATTCTGGCTGTACTTCTTCCAAGACAGATTTGTTCAGTCTTCTGGCAGTCCATGGTAGATTCAGTATCGCAAGGAATATTCAATAGTTTTAGTTTAATTGCAAAAAATGAAAAAACACAGTTTTTTTTCCTTCTTAAAACAGTAGGAACCGTTCTTTTTCTTATATAGGCAGCACATATTAATTATAAAAAATTTAATATTTAAAAATTATAATAAATAAAGGAAAACATAATTCTACCACCTAGAAATAATCACTGCTAATACCTTGTTATGTATCCTTCTAAAAATATAAGTATGTCCAACTGTGTGTGGTATGTTTGAGTATATTAGTTTTAGTAAAATACTCTTTTATAACCTGTTTTTCCCCTATAAAACAGTATCTGTTTATTATCAGTAACTATTCATTTCTGCCAACCAAAGCAAACGCAACCCGTTGCCGTCAAGTTATTCCAACTTATAGCGATCCTACAGGACACAGTAGAACTGCCCCATAGGGTTTCCAAGGAGCGGCTGGTGGAATTGAACTGCTGACCTTTTGGTTAGCAGCTGAGCTCTTAACCACTGTGCCACTAGGGCTTCATGTCTACCACTGGCTTTCAAATTATCACCACTAGTATTCTACAGAGGTGTGAGAGACTAGCCAAGGGGGCAGCTTTGGGGCCCATTTCAACTGGAGCATTTCTGCTTATCTTTTTTATCTTTGTCTCACAGGGACTTCCTGTGAAATTTCATTTGGGAGAAAGAAAGGTTTTTGTAAAAAGAACTGTGATGTTAATAGCTATGTATTTTTCCTTCCTTAATTTATATAAACAATACCCTAAGTTTTCCTAATTCTTTCTATTAAGAACACAGCGATATATCTTTGTAGCTAAGTCCTTGTAGCTAAATCTTTATGTACAGCATTAATTTTTCCTTAAGATAAATTCTTAAAAAGCCCTGCACAACTATAAAAAATTCTTGAGAATTTTAAAGTACCAGTCTCATAGCTTATGTTTGAGTTAGGTAGTGTAAATTTAAATACCCCAAGAGCCAGGTAGATCGTGTTAGTGAGTAAAATGGGCCAGGTTGGAACTAGAGCAAATGGAGAACTTGTTCCCTGTGTAAAAAGGTCAGTTTGAAGCTCAGCTACAGCCAGTTATTGCCAAATGAGCTGGTGTTGCCACATCATCCAGCTTCTCTCTGAAAATGACAAGTCTGAATTTTTATGTGAAAACTCCCAGCTTTTTAAATGTTCCTAACATTTGCACCTTCTGTTTCAAGAACTTTTCAGTTTGTTTTCTGTAATACAGTTTAATTCTGAGCAGTTCCTATGATGTGATGCTGTTGGCTGATGGTGATTTTGCACAGACAGGTGTGTTAGAAGATTTAAAAATCTCATAGGCTTTCACAGACTATTTCACCTCTATTCAAATAGGTATCACTGAGTAAATGGTGTTCTGAAATAATACAAGGATTAAGTCATTTGAATAGAGAAAAAGCTTATTCATTCACTTAACGTTTGAGTGCCTTCTTTTATGCTAAGCACATATAATAATTCACATAGTATGGTATCAAGAAAACTAATCTGTCTCTAGGCTGTAGGTTAAAGCTTTTTTTTTTATTTTGTCTCGAATGTTTAAAGAGTATATGATGATTTTAACAAATGGTGTTGGAACAATTGGCCATCCATATGCAAAAAAAAAAAAGAACTTCAGCCTAAACATCACACCTTATTAAGAAAAAAATCAAATCAAAATGGATCAGAGATCTAAATGTAAAACTTTTAAAAGAAAAATATATTTACCATATGACCCAGCAATACCACTCCTAGATAGATTTACCCTAGAGAAATGAAGCTTTTTTCCACACAAAAACCTGTACACAAATGTTTATAGTAACTGTAATCCTAATAACTAAAAACTGGAAACAACATAAATATCCTTCTACCATGAATGGTTAAACTGTAATACATTCATACAATGAAGTACTACTCAGCAATAAAAAGGAGTGAACTGTTGGAACCATACAACAGCTCAGATGAATCTTAAAGGCATTATGCTAAGTGAAAGAAGCCAGCCTCGAAAGGCTGCATACTGTATCATTCCATTTATATGATTTTTCTGGAGAAGACACAGTGGTGACGAACAGATCAGTGGTTGCCAGGAATGGGGGGAGGGCGTGACCACAACAGGACAGCATGAGGGAGTTTTTTGGAGTTGACGAAACTCTTTAGTGTCCTGATTGTGGTTGGTGGTCACAAAAGTAGCACTGTGCACCCTCCAAAAAAGTTAATTTTACTATATATTAATTTAAAAAATAAAATAGAAAAGAACATGTGGTCATGCCATTGGTTTTTCCTTAAAAGGGTGATAAAAATAACAATTACTGCTAACACTGTTGTCTAAAATCAGATTTCTGGAATTTTTATTATATAAATTATGTACATGTGAGGCTCCAAAGCAAACATTTTTGAGATTTTGTTTATTTGTTTTTTTAAATAGTTTCCTTGATAACCTCAAATGTTGTTTTGTTAGCCAAATAATAGAGAACAAACTTTTTCACATGATATACTTATTTTTTTTATTTTTTTAAGAATCAGATGGGTGACTCAAATATTTCCAGCCCTGGGTTACAGCCAAGCACTCAGCTGTCGAATCTGGGAAGTACAGAGACTCTAGAGGAGATGCTGTCCGGGTCACAAGATAAGGTTTGTACAACTGAAGTCCTGGCTTTGTCCACAGCAACAAAACAGAGAATCATACTTTTTAAGGATTTTAATGAAGTACAAGTTTGATTTGTCACTTTTCTATCAAGTTATGTACATGCAGCAACATGTTTTAAGCCTTATAATGACATCTATCCAGGTCATTTCCCCTAGTCCACATAACTGTCTTTTGTCTGAATTTTGCAGTAACCTCCTATTTGATCTCCCAGCTTTTGCCCTTGCCACTCTCTTACTTATTCTTAACCCAATAGTCAGAGTAATCCTGGTAAAATGTAAGTCAGATCATGACACTTCTCGGAGTAAAACCCTCCGCTGATGTCCCATCTCATGAAAATAAAAGTCAAAGTCTTGGCCCTTGCCAAGGAGGCCCCACCTAATCTGGCTCCACTGCCTCTGGCCTCATTTTTACCACTGTCATGCTCAATCAGCCCCGGCCTCATTGCCTTTCTTGCTTTTCCTTAAATATGCCGGGCATGCTCCTGCCTCAGGATAGGTCTTTGCACTTGCAGTTCCCTTGGCCTGGGATACTTTCCTCATAAATAAGACCTGTTCTTTTTTCTCCTCCAAGTCTCAGGTGCCCTCCATATAGGTGAGACCTTCTCTGAACACCCTATTTAAAATAACAACCCACCCCACCCTCCTGCTCTACTTTATTTTCTCCCTAAGCCTTAAAAACCAGGTGACGTGGTTTGTGGCCCTTTCCACCAGCATGAAAGCACCATGGGGCAGGCAGTTTCATTTGCCGTGTTCATTGCTGCATCCTCAACTTCTAGCATTGTAAATATTTGTTGGAGGAATGGACTCCCTTTATAACTGATGGCCTGATAAATGAACAGGTGTTTTTCATAATCAAGTAAAACCCATAATTTTTAATTAAACTTTTTATTTTGAGATAAGTGTAAATTTATATGCAGTTGTAAGAAATAATATAGAGAGATCCGAAGTACCCTTTACCTGTTTCCCCACTGATAACATCTTGTAAACTATTGTACAATATCACAACCAGGATATTAATACAAGCTTCCGGTCTTAGATTTCTCCGGCTTTGCCTTGCTCGCATGTCGGCATGTATATTTAGTTCTGTGAAATTTTATCACATCTGTGATTCATATATCCACCACCACAGTCAAGATATAGAATAATTCATCACTACAGGGATCCTTCATGTTGCCCTTCTGTGATCACACCAGCTTCCCTCTCACACTGTCCCTGCTCCCCCTTCCATCCTTAACCCCTGGCAGCCACTGATGCTGTTCTCCAGTTCTGTAATTTTGTCATTTCAGGAATGTTATGTGAGTAGAATCATATAATATATAACTTTTAGGGATTGGCTTTCTTCACTCAGCATAATTCCTGGAGATTCGAGTTGTTGCATGTATCAGTTACTGCTGAATGGTATTCCGTGGATGTATATACCACAGTTTGTTTAACCATTCATCTGTTGAAGGACATCTAGGTGGTTTCCAGGTTTCAGCTATTATGAATAAAGCTGTGATGAACATTCATGTACAGGTTTTTGTGTGAACATAAATTTCGGCTTCTCTGGGATAAATGCCCAAGAGTGCAATTGCTGAGTCATATGTATGGTAGTTGCATGTTTTAATAAGAAACTGCCAAACTTTTCTAAAGTGACTATACCATTTTACATCCCACCAGCAACGTATCCGTATGTTTTTAGGTATTTAGATGATAATTTTAACCAGATTTTTTAACCAGATTTTGTATACTACATTCCCATGTTCCATTTTTACTGTATTTGATGCTATGTAAACTATAATTTTTAAAAACTATATTCTTTTTAAAGAGCATGGTACTAGGTTCCTTTTGGACTGGTTTATCAGTTTTGGGTATTCAGTGGACCAGTCAGTTTTCCTTTCTGAATCACAAGTCACTTCCCCTGACCCCATCCGAATCATGGAGTTAAAGATCCTTGTACTGCGTAACTCATAAAGTTATATGAAGAAATGAACCCCAAAAAAGCATTGAGAACCATAAGCCACTGTCCATTAAAAGATGAGTTGACAAGCCATAGATGCTTAGCCTTTCAACAGAAGCACCAGTAATGGATCTGTGAACACACAGAATGTTAAGTGGGCACTCAGGGATGTCAACCTTCTGACGCAAACCAGGCTGATGGTGTAGTTGTTATTATTACTGTTCGTTCATTATTCTCTCATTATTATCTACTTTTAAAATGCCACTTTTCAGGCCAAAGTGATAAAATTTTAAAAAATATCAGGATCTGGATATTGTCAGAAGCCATGTAAATGATAAAATTAGCTCAAATCCATAATCAGCCTTGGTGGCACAGTGGTTAAGAGCTCGACTGCTAACCAAAAGGTCGGCAGTTTGAATCCACCAGCTGCTCTTTGGAAACCCTGTGGGGCAGTTCTCCTCTGTCCTGTAGGGTCCCTGTAAGTCAGAATCCACTTAAATGCAATGGGTTAGACACAGAAAATACATTTGTTTAGTAATGCTGCCATCTAGTGTTGAAAAGCAAATAAACTGTCGAGCCTTAATGTTAATAAATTCCATTTCAGTTTATTAAAATTCCCTGTGGGCTTGTTTCCCTGGATTTTGTTTGGTTTTCTTTGGGGCGAGGTTGTTTGGTTTTTTGTTTGGTTTTTAGTTTTTTGGTTCCTGTGGTCAAGAATAGTACATGTCTTATAGTGTGCCTTATGCACTGACCAGGTAGAAAATCTGATATGAACACAATAGATCCACACAGAAGTATGAAATACTCTAAACGGCAAGAGCTGTGGGGTGAGGAAGGAACTAAGTAAAACCTGATCCAGTGTGCTAGAATTTTGTTGTGTACTCTACATACTGTTGCTCACTACGAGTTCCATTTCCCGAGGAAAATGCTCAGTCGAACACCTGATTTAAGTGAGGCATTACAAAACTCAGAATCCAGACTTTAAGCATATTCAGACATGGGGAAAGAATAAAATTTCATCTTTTCTGTGTATTTTGGAAGATGAATCCATGGTGGGGGTGGCGGGCGGGGGCATCTACAGAAGGAATGCAGACAGTTTTTCCTGTCATGGACAGGAAGTGTAAGGAGGGTCATTTCAAACACAGACACCTACTCAAAAATCATATGGAGGCTTGTGTGGAGACCCTCCGGATTTTGTAGCTATAGTTCTATAAGTTAGATATTTCTAAAAGTTGATGCATTTGGACCTGTAGACACCTCTTAGTCATTCAGGCCTTAGCTGCACCTCTGTTTTCCAGAGGTACATATCCCCACCCATTTGATGAGGTAGGCTGATCTGCTTAATTGACATCTCAGTATGGTGGCATAATGATTAAGAATGTGGACTGCGTTGTTAAATCTAGGTTGGTGTCTGGTTCTCTTGATACATTTGGGCATCATCTATAAAATGGCAGTGATAACTGTACCTGTCCTGGCAGATTCATAAAGCAGTGCACGTAAAGAGCCTAGCACAGGGCCTCCCATGTGATGAGCACTCTGTCTGTGGTGACCGTTACTGCCATCACAGCTTCATTCTTTAGGTGAGAAGATCTCTGAACCCCGAATGCTTTACCACACACCCTCCTCCAGGGAGAGTCTGAGAATCTGGTCCTAGTTTGGCAAAAGTTGTACAGAGGCAACCTGGAGAAGTCTGGAAACTTTTTGCTGCTTTTAGGTTCAAGGTTCTACATATAGCCTCATTTTTTAATATGTAGATTTGAAATCATTGGAAATTCTTGTTTTTAAAGTAAATGTAAAAACATTTCAAATGTGAATGCAGGTAGATTTGATCATTCAAAGCTTGTGTTCCACTAGACAAGTATTTCATGGTGAGGCTTGTCCATATCCTGTTGTTTGATTGCTTCTTTTCTTATAACATAAAAATAATATTTCTTACCTGGAAAAGACCCCCAAGTTTCTGCAAAATAACCCCAATATGGTCTGTGTTTTTCAAAGTAGATATATCTAAATGTTGATGTATGTGTATATGTACACATATATAAAGCAACATGGTGGTCAGGACTCACATCATTTTTGTTAATGAGTTAGTGCCATTTTCTGGTACCTTGGTACCTTTTTTTTTTTTTTTTTTTTTTGCACCAAACAATCCTGACCATTTTGTTTTAAAGATAATATGTATAAAAAGGAATTATCTCTCAGCTCATCAATAGACATACATGGTGCCAGGGATCTATAAGTGACAAAGTCACAGTTCAGCACAGGAAATGGAACCTGTGCTCCTCACTGCAGTTCCATGTGGCCTGGACAGAGGGAATGAGAATTCTGTCCCAAATGAGAATTCATCATCTATGCTGACTTACAGTGAATGGGTTTGAATTGTTAGCAGTGAGCTTTAAACAAACAGACTGCTGTGTCCTTGGTGACTCCTCGCACCAGGGAATGACAGGATGGTTTATAATAAACAGCACAGCCTTGATATCCCAGCAAATGATTTTTTGTTGTTGTTGTTTTGTATTGTGGGGGTATGATGCTCCAGAAGGATTTGATCAATTTTTAATATCCATCAAATATTATTTGGTGTTCCTTAAGTATCCAAACACAAATTTATCATAATTGTTATTATATGATGTCCATATAATGATTTTCATAATGGCCAGCCTCCATTTATTGAATGCCCATTGGGCACCAGACATTATATTGGGAATTTAATTTCACAGCAGCCCTATGAAGTAATTACCACAATTGTCCTCGTTTTTCAGATGAGGGAACTAAATAGATTATGTAATTTTCCCAGGTAACACAGCTGGAAATTGAACCTACGTATCTTTGATTCCATACTCCAGCTCTACAGTTTTTTAGAATGAAAAATGGGAGGAAATGGAATCATATAAAATGTTTTGCTTTTTTTTTTTTCATTTATTTATAACATCCATAATTATATGTTATAACTGCCTTATATTTGAAGTGAGATTCTGAATATGGAAAATCCCTTAAAGAACCAGAAGGTGTTGTGACAAGACAGTCTTACTAGTCTTAAGACAGTATTATTAGTGGGGGCCTAAATTTGCTGTTCGAGAATTCATTGACTTAAACAAAAGCCTCTTGTCACGTTAACTTGCCAAGATATGTTGGTTTTTTAATATTAATAGAATTCTCTTTTTTGAGTATTTGCCAGGATAAAATGGTTTAGTATGAACTTACAGTTTTTTACAACTGGAGGAGGCTTCTGCCTCTTCCTTCCACAGCAGTTATTTCACACCACCTGCAGTCTCCTCAGACCTGCCCTGCCACCTCTTACCTAAAGATGATGCTGTCTCCACACCAGAGAAAAAGTATGAAATAGTACTCCCTTAACTTTCTGTCTCTCACATGCAAACTTCCCTGCATCCTTAGTCAGCAATGCTAGCTCCTCTTTCTTCCCTGTTGTCTGACATGAATCTCTCCTCAACAAAGGGGAGCCGGTCTTCCTACCCCTTAATGGTGCTGTTCTGTGGGGACCACCCTCTCCCCTGCATGCCTTTCTCTTTCTGGAAGTGCTTTGAGAGTGAGCATTTTAGAGCATCTACTATGTACTTAGTAGGTCTCTGGTACTGGGTGGGGGTGCCATTGCTTGGGCAGAGAAGCCCAGGCAGGAAGGAGGTCAATGATCAGGAACAAGTGAGGATGACAGCTGCTGCCTTGGAGGATGAGCACTTCCTGTGTGCTGGGTTCTGTAGGTTGAATCCTCCCAACAACCCTCCCTACTTCAGAGAGGAGTTGAGATTCAGGAAGGGGAGTGACACCTACCGGGTTACAGAGTCTCTGTCCCTGCCAACCTTGTCCCTGCAGTCTCCTGAAGGAATCCCTCTGCTCCTTTGACTTGTATTACCATTTTTATGTTTTAATGACTTGCAAATCAGTACCTCCAGATCACTTTCTGCAGGTTTCAGATGTCCTGTGGATACCTCAGACATGTTAAAAACTGACCTAGCCTTTCCCCTCCCTCCTGTAACCTAAGGACTTGCCGGCCCAAGCAGTGGCACCACCACCCAGTACCATTGGACAACTGTAAGAGCTTCAGCCTCACCCCTCAATCTGTCCTTTATGTGGCTGCGAAAGTGCACATCTTAAGATGTGAAGCCAAGTGGGTCATTCCCTGAACGTATCCCCATTGCCCTCCTGACAGTGTGTCTCAAGACACTCTGCAGTCTGGCCAGTGCTTCTCTCTTCCCTCCATCGCCTCTCCTCCTCCCCAGCCTCTCTTACCCAGCCCTGGAGAAGTACTTGCAGCTCCCAGGGTGACTGTGCTCCAGCCAGCTCGCCTCATCCCTCCCCTCAGCTTAAGGGTCCTCATTCCTGGGTGCCTCCTTCCCTCCCATGGAGCCCTGCCACTTTGCCCAAGGAGGGGGAGTCCTTATTACCAGTGATCAGTGCCTCCTTCCCCACGCATCACAGCACAGTGCCTGGCACCTGGTAAACTCAATCAAGATTTGTCAAATGAATGAACAGACATTTGCCTAGGAAAAACTAAGTATGCTTTCCTGTAGGTATGTGATCATACTGTGGTGCTATCACCATTACACTTCAGATGCAATGTACTTTAGGGCCTTTGTAGACTTTCTGAGGCCCTAAAAATTGTGTTCCAGTGATTTTTTTTTTTCCCCCATAGAAATGTGTCTGAACAGCTAGCTGACACACTTTTGGAATACAACTGGAAGACAGGGCTTCCTGTGTTTTCAAAGTACTTGTGTTTGTCTCCCACTGGAATGTAAGCCCTGGCATGGTAGGATTTTTTTTGTTACTCCCTGCTATGTCCCTTGGACCCAGTCAGAACAGGACCTGGCATTCTGTGGATACTCAGTCAGTAAAAGTGAAATGAATATGGCAGTCCTGCTGGAAGACGCAGGGAAGCTCTCAAGTGGGAAGCATGTGTATTTTTCCTTTGAACAGTCACATTGGTGTCAATAAACCGCTTTACTACAATACGTAAGTTCAAATTTTTGAGACTTTTTAAAATTTAGATTATTAAATAGTAAAAATTATTATTTTGCTTGCCTTTTTTTAAGAATTCCGTGACTTGGGGGCAGAGAAGAGGAATGACTTGCTATAAAATATAACAGTTAAATTTATTTTCTGGTATTTGGGACCCAGTCCTCAAGGTGCATTGCCCATCTTTTTATTAAGAACAGTGAATTAAAGGCAGGATCACTTGCTCAGCATTTGGCCCCTCTGACCTCTTTAGTATCATTTTCCCACGTGTTACTGACATGGGGCAAGTAGGCACAATTAACTCTGAAATAAGGACCTACCCCTTCACCCATCTGTGAATTCTAACGCAGGAGTCCCTAAAATTTGAATTTTATTGCAGATTTCTGTCTACCAACTCAGAGAGACCTGGCCTTAACCCCTAATATATCTTCAGTTTGTTCCATTCCCTTATTTTCAAACTCCTTCTGCCGTCGCTCCTGCAGACTGTTTTGATTGATAGAAAAGAGGTTTGTTACGCTGGTTTTCGAGAGATTTCTTTCATCGGCTGGTTTGATCTGTTTTTCAGTCTGCTCCATCTGGACACAAACATCTGACAGTGGAAGAACTATTTGGAACCTCTTTGCCAAAGGAACAGCCAATGGTCGTGGGTCTTGATTCAGAAGAAGTGGAGAAGCTGCCAGGAGATGCCTCCCAGAAAGAGCCCAGCCCGTTCCTACCATTTTCCTTTGAGCATTCAGGAGGGGCCCCTCAGTCAGAAAGCCTGGGTGTTCAGTCTGCTGCCCTCTACTCAGTCCAACCTGAAGTCACCACCCCAGTGCTAATCACTCCTGCCTCCATCACACAGTCCAATGAAAAGCACGCCCCAAGCTACACGATCCCACTGAGCCCTGTTCTCAGTCCCACTCTGCCAGCAGAAGCTCCTACTGCACAGGTTCCCCCCAGCTTACCTCGAAACAGCACCATGATGCAGGCAGTGAAGACCACGCCCAGGCAGAGGTCTCCACTCCTGAATCAGCCAGTCCCTGAGCTAAGCCACACCTGTCTGGTTGCCAGCCAGAGCCCGTTCAGGGCCCCATTGAGTGTGACAAGTACAGCTGGTACATCCCTCGCAAGTGTGGATCTTCTCCAGAAACTCAGGTTGACCCCACAGCATGACCAAATACAGACACAGTCACTCGCGAAAGGTTCAGTGGCACCCAGCTTTCCTCCAGCAGCTGGCCAGCTGGCCACGCCTGAGAGTTTCATAGAGCCTCCCACTAAAACCGCAGTAGCCAGAGCAGCCGCCTCAGCCTCCCTGAGCAACATGGTGCTCTCTCCCCTTCAGGTACCAGCAGGATGATAGGGGTAGAAGGGGAGGTAGCTATGATTGGGTGGCATGAAACTGCAAAAACCTTGGTTTCAGCCGACATTGGTCAGGGTAGTTTTAAAGAGGCACCTGTTGAGTGTGTCAGGGGCTAAAGGGGAGGTAGGAAGCCCTGTAGTGAACAGCTAAATAATTGGTAAGGGGGGGTATAGCTCAGTTCACTTCCCGAAGTTATTTGAGCTGATAGGCTGAGAAACTGTGTTTCCCATCAGAGTATGCATTTTAGGGTTATTTGTTTTGTTTTTGCCTGATAGTTCCAGGAGTCATCATTTGACGTGGGAACATGGATCCAGATTATCCTAAGCTTTGTTCCATTCCCAACTCCCTCAGTTCTTTCATTGGGTGCCTATCTGTGCCAGACATGCTAGAGGTGCATCCCAGGTTATGAGGTGTGAGTCAAAGCTTTCCAATGAAACTGATGTTTAAGCCAACATCTGAAGATGCGGTAGAAGTTAGCCAGACCTTTTCTAGAGGTGCAGAGAATTTGAGGCAAGAAGAATAGCATGTGCAAAGCACTGGAGGTGAGGGGACATTTGAAAAACTTAAAAAACCATAGTGTGACTGTGGAAAGAAGGGAGCTGAGATGAGTAAGACTTTGTAAATTGCGTCAAGGAGTTAGAGCTTTGTTCTCAGAGCCCTGGGGGGAGTCTTTGAAGGGCATTCAGCAAAGGGTAACATGCTGGGAAAGGGGCAGGAATAGGGCGACCCATCAGGAAGGAGGCTGTGGCAGTCACTCAGGCTAGAGCTAGTGGGGGTCTCAATTTGGGAGAGTGGACGAGTGGATTTGTTAAGATGTATGATCAGTGGGACATAGCAACAGATTGGGTGTGGGGGCTGAAGAAGAGGTTTCTCCCTCACAATAATTAACTCAGTTGAAGTGACGTGTGACACACTGTCATTCAACTGCAGAACCTTCTCTTCTACAATAGCATTGGTTGCCTTTCAGGATTAGTCTCGTGCCCTTTTCTAATAATAATCTCCAATCTTAACATTTTATGAAATAACATTGTATAGAAGAACCATCATAATAATTGTGTATTCTCTTACTCAATGGAGCATTTTGTACTTTTCGTTTGAAACCTTGTGCAGAACGAGAGGAAGCTTAGTATCTTGGTTACATCATATTGTCATTCTTTGGCCATTTCTGCAGTGTAGGAGAGAATATTCAGTTCAACAGACGGGAGTCATACCCTGAAATGCTCCTGGTCACTGTTCCAGTTGCTCTGTGAAGGTGTAACCAGCAATCTGTAAGGCTTTGGGAAGCCTGACAGAACACTGTCCTCTCCAGACTGTGACCTCTGGGACAACACCCTGCTGTCTGGCCTGCCTCCTGGCAGGGGAAGCCTACATGCATGTAAACTTCCATTTATTTGGCAGTATCTAATATCAGGACCTGGGGCTTCATTGAACTCTAATGTATTTGCTCTGCAACAAGAAGGTTTTTCTCTCCCAGTGATTGAGGATGAAATTTAGCATGTAGAAGTATGACTGAATGAAGACTAGTTAGTATTCCTTCCCCAAAGTTTAAATCACCTCATCAAGAGGTATCGTGGTACCAGATCACTCATCTCTACAGAACTCAGCCACAAAAATATGCATGGGTACCCCCAGCTTTTGCGAGAGAAAGGGGCTTCAGCTTTTTCTCAGTGACACCTTAAAGGATTTACATGTACCCCTTTTCTCTGGGAACAGAGGACGGGAGGCTCTTCCATAGCTCACACCAGGACATTGAGTCATTAGTCCCATTATCTCAAGTTTTTGTCAGCCTCTTAGGAACCTAGGAACTAGTTAATGTCTGAAGCATTCCTTAGTGCTAACCTAGATTTTTCACCAGTGACTAGAAAATCTTCCTGACATTTGCTACATCTATCCATCTTTTCTTTTTAAATATTGCAGTCTATGCAGCAAAACCAGGACTCTGAAGTATTTTCCCAGCCTAAGGTGTTATCCAGTGCCATCCCGGTAAGCACTCCCTTTTTCTGAAAAACACATTATGTATTTTTAAGTTCTTCTGATGGATGTGAAGTAAGATTGTCACCTTTGTGAAAAGTTATAGCTTTCAAGCCTACACCCATCTCAGATGTCCCCTCCTGGGCCAGGCCCCCCTGCTTCTCTAGTCTCCAGAGTTCGTTGCTTTGGCCTTTGTAGACCCCCAGTCACCTCTCTGTATGAAAGTCTTCCCCTGACTGCGTGTATATGAAAGCAGGGTCAACCACTCTCTGTAAGTGGGTGACTGCTGAGAGTCAGTCAGCCTGGTTTCTACAAGTAGGAAATATTCTTTGCCCTGTAAGAGCTGTGATGTCCCAGTTAACAGAAGGCAGAGTCACTGCCCTCATTGGCTTCCCATTGCACTGAGGACAAAGCCCAAGTGCTGTGACACACATCTATCCTGCCTGCCTGCCACATCTACCCCTTGCTTATCCTCCCCTTCCACCTTCTTTTAAAAGTTGCCCCCATCTTCTGTCACCCACCAACCTTGAAATATACACTGTTTTTTGTTTTTTCAGTTCCTTAAATTCCTGCTTGCCTTTGAGCCTTTACACCTCTCAGAATTTAGACTAAGCCGGCTTCTGGCTGGTGTCATTAACTCCTCTTCTCTGTAGTTTGTCCTACTACGTGGTGGTCAGCGGAAGCCATCAGCCTGGTGGTGTACCAAAAAACAGCATAAATGGCTGCCATACCAGAAGCCACACCCTTAGAACTGTGGCAGGCTGTTTGCTATTTGTAAATGAGGGTGGCAGGCAGGAGAAAGAGAAATAGAGATCTTTGTTGATTCTATCAAGTATGAAAATTATTAAAAATACTGATTATTACTGTATTCTGATTGTTAGCTGTATTTAGCCTAGAAATACATCAAAATGGGGGAAAGAGGTGGATGTTAATTTTAATTTTTAAGAAATTTTGATACCTATAATGCTAATATAAATACACTGAGACTACAGAAGAAACTTGCTGCATGTAACTAGATTTTTTTAATTCTCTTTTTTTAATTGAAGTATAATTTGCATACCATAATTACAGATTTTTGAGGAGTTTTGACACATGTATATTCCTTGGGTAGCCACTGCCCCAATCAAGATATATAGCATTTCTGTCATCCCAGGAAGTTCCCTCATGCCCTCTTCCAGTCACTTCCCCCTATAACATCCTCCTCCCCCTCCCATAACTGGACTTTGCATTTTTAGTTCGTCATAGGATGGCTCTTATTGTGCATGCCGTGCTGGTATTTATCATTTTTGCCTTCTGTGATGATTGGACTTGATTTCCCATAACAACTCTAGGAACTTCTTTAGCTAACAGAAGCTTCATAACCAGATGTAAAATACTCAAATGCTTCTACTGAGTACGCTTTACCTGAACCCAGTAGTTAGCATTTGACTGTGCCCCAGTCTCATACTGCTGATGCCTGTTATGGGGTGTTCCCTGCTCTGGACCTGGCTGCTCCCTTCTGCACTTATGCAAAATGGCCACTGTTCCTCTACAGGTTGCAGGCCCTCCGCTGGTTACCGCTACGACCACAGTAATACCGTCTGTCCTGCTGTCCCCAAGTGTTTTCCAGCAGACAACTACGCGATCCACAGACCTTGAGAGGAAGGCAAACTCCCCTTCTCCTCTAACTGTTGGGACATCAGAAAATCAGAGAAAGCCCTCCATTGTTCTCAGCAAGGCTCAGCTCCAGGATACATTAGTACATCTGATAAAGGTATGTATGGTATTTTTAATCTTTTGATTTTTGTTCTTTTATTTAAAACAAATTTTGTAGATTCTCCATAGAAATCAGTTCATAAAGTAAATTCAGAAGATTAGCTAGGAGTAATGTTTCTGTCTTCCCAAGCATATACTGCTGATGGAAAAATATCTGAAAGAATGAGTTCTGAAATATTATTTGTGGTTTCATTGTCTCTGGGTGTGGAATTATTTGTGTAATTAGCAATTAGTTATGCAAATCATTTATACAATTTTCTTCTAAGCTGTTATCAAGGAAGTAAGTTCTGATGAGGTCAAAGTGACATTCCATGTTCTTATGATCTCTTCCAGAATGATTCTGGCTTTCTTAGTACACTTCATGAAGTCTACTTGCAGGTTCTGACCAAGAACAAAGAAAACCTCAGCCTATGACTGGAGCTGAGTAAGTCTGAAGGCAGCCTGTCAACCTCAGAAACAAATAGGCTTCATCATGGAAACTTCTAAACAGAACAGTGAGCTTTGAGAATCTTGAAATTGAGTCTATAAGAAAAGAGACTCATTCCTTAAGAATGATTTCCAAGTGACGTTCTCAGTGATCATGGAGGTTTCACTGTGAAGCATCACCAGCAGACCTTTGTTTTGACAAAAAAAAAAAAAAAAAAAGACCATTGTGTTAAGTTATGGGGTGTTTTCATCAGCTGTGATTATGTAAAATAGGAAGTCTGATTTTCAGCTGGCCATCATTCTCGAGGACTTAGGGAGGAGAAGTCACCAGCCTGCACCCTTATGCCTCACTTCCTACCCCCTGGTAACATGACCTTCTAGGGCATCAGGCTGATAGTCAAGTTCTGAGCAGAGTAGAAGTCAGCTCTGTGAGAAGTAACTTCGAGTTTTGAGGATCAGAGTTTTAAGTTGGAAAATTAGGACTGACTGATTTAAGTGAAGTATATTTTATATGAATGCCCCATTTGGGCCTTAAAAGTTCTGTAATTTCTTAATTGTGTTTTATGTTTAAGTGTCCCCAGTCCTGCCATGCAGCAGGCTCCCATCGCCACGTTGCTGTTTGAATAGGGCCAGGTCAGGCCCCGTGGTGGTGCGGAAGCAGGCACGTCACACCTCTGAAGCAAAGACTGGGGTTGCTAAAGCCCAAATCCTATCAGAAATCTTCATGTTAAGATACACTCTACAGTGGTTTTGAAAGTGTTAAGTTGGTATGTGAAGCATAGCCTTACTTTCCTTTTCTATCTAAACACCAGTTAAAAGTCATTGTCGATTGTTTTCCTTAACACTTTGACAAAAGGACCAGTGGACCAATATGACAAAGCCATTCTGGTTCCGTTCCTCATGTATTGAGAATAGTTTTAAAGCTATGCAGAAAAAGGAGCTGTTATTCACACTGCCCTTACTTTGTTGTAGAATATGGAGTTTAAAAGAAAGTGTGAAATTCAGAATTTTACCAATGTATTCCTAGGCTGTGAGTATTTTTCCAGCCCAAAGTGTGAAAATATGTAAAGATGCTTTGTTATGCTGCTATTAATCTGCCATGATTTATATTTATTCTTTTATGGCATGTAATGGTGATTAGTAATATTTTAATGTTGATTTTGATTTATTTCAGCAATAGTAATTTTAAGATATCCTTTGAATGAAAGTGTCTTCGTTTCTATGATACAGATCATTTTGTAGTATTTAACCAATTAAGATGCACTGCTTACTTTTCTGAGCACTATTTAATGATGGGGTAAATACCCGACTGGCTCAACCAGCTAGCATAAGGATTAGCTGTGAATAATGCTGACAGATGTGATTGTTCCTTGGGAATGATCATTTAAGCTTTACTGGTAACTCAATCAGAAGTCCATAGATTTTTCTAGCTGAAATTTTAAAAAATTACTTGTGAATTACATACTTGTTTTAGTTTGATCTTGGTTTTTTACATAAAGAATACTTTGTTTGATCGGCTTTTGTTAATCTAAATATGCTTCCTGAACAACTTTTCTGCTTCTCAATTTATTGTCTTCTATTGCTGTCTACCTAGTTACGTGTGTGAATTGTGCAGACTTCAGGGAAGCTTTCAAGTTCTCATACTCAATTAGGAATCGTTTGTATTCAAAGATAGTGTATAAGTTCCGCAACCAAAAATGAATTGTTCATGTGTCATCCAGGAAAGAGAGAGTTGTAATAAGATGAGGATTGCTGACACTAGGAGATATGGTGTCCAGGGAGCCACATGACTGTTCTCATAAAATGGACGCTCCAATAGGTTTGATCATACCCCAAGTATAATCTCACTGGGCTTCGGTAAACAGAAGAATCAAGGGATTCTTGTTACAATAGACATTTGAGTCGAAGTGATGCTTTTGAGTATGTATAGTATTATGAAGGAGTTCAGAGAAAATGTCTTAAAAAGGGCCTGGAAACAGATCTGTTCATTTTCACCCTTTAATCCAAGGAATGCATGTGATGGACCGTAAAGCGAATCTATGATAGGGTTTCCCGCAGTGTGAAACTAAGCTTTTATGTGCCCAAGTCATGGAGACTTGAAAAGGGTAAACCTGTTTCAACTCCCAAATTTGTGTATTCGAAGCATTTAAAATTCAGAAGCCAGAAGTTCATGGTCATGATCACCAGGAGGTTCAGGCCAGAATGAGGCCCTAGAGAAGCCAGGCCAACCCTGGATAGTTGCTGGATGACCCTGGCCTGAAAGTCACAGTTCAGTTGCCTTATTCCTCATTCAGGCTTATGGTCCAGAACCTCATGCTAGCTTAGGTTGCATGTTTACATTGCTGCAGTGTCTTTACAAGAACCTTAGTTTAAAACCTTAGTTGAATCAAAATAGACACCAAAAAAAGAGATGCTTCCTGCTAGGTTTTGTAGAATGCCAGGAGACCTGTATTCAGGCCACTCTATCTGTCTGTGTGCCCACCCCTACCCCCCTGTCTGGGTGCAGGCTCTGAGAGGAGCAGCCCAGAGCTTGGAGTGGAGATGTGTCTGGGGCGTCACTGGGGGCGGGCCTGCCCTTCTTTCGCTGGTGGTTACTGTGACATCTTTGAATGGACTCAGACCACCTTGTTCCTTCAGGGCAGATGCTCCTCTTCATTGGGCATTGCCTGTGAGATTTGAGGCGTGAAAGTTGGCCTGGTTGACTTTGAATCCCAAGTTTTCAAGTGGCTGTCAGTGTCAGGAGAAGCATTTTCATGCTGTCTGCATGGGGAGTGGCCACAGCTTACCTTTGAGGCTTATGAGGAGCCACCAGAGTGGTGTTTTGTTAAGCACACAAGTTGACCTGGATCCTTCTTGGCCAAAGGATACACAGGCTTAGTTTAGAAAATGTCTTGGCAGGTTTTGCATGTCAAGCATTTGTTCTTTTTCTAGCCTGTGTTTTCTTGTAAAAAATGGAAACCCATCGAATCCTCTACTAGGTAAATATTTTTAAACCATGCAGCTTTATTACTGTCCTCCCCAAAGAATGTAGTTTGAAATTTTCTCATTTTGGTAGTGGAGGTCGTGACTGCCATTCTATTATTAATAATGCAACGTGAAATTGAAGGTGCCTAACTGCTTAAAAAATACAGTCCGTCATTATACTGTAACACCGGGCAAAATGTAAACAGTGGGTTGAGAGGTGGCACGGACGTGAGCGATTCAGCTGTGTGAGTGAAGAGAAGGAAGGAATCACAGGGATGGCTGTCCTGCGTTCTTGCTGCACGTTTGCTGCTGAGCACGTTTGTCTCTTACCTACCTATGGTTTTCTTCAGTTGTGTTCAAAGTACCTTCTGGAACCAATAATGCCCTGTATTTTCAAGTGTCTAAAATGTTAAGATCTGAAGCAAGTAAAGCAACTCACACTGTAGGCTTTTCAAAAGTCCTGCTTGAGAACATTTTTCCCTGAGTGGGCTGGGGCCTTGAGGAGCCTGTTTTCCATCAAATTCAGCCGGACAGATGTGTGCAATGTTTCACTCGGCTTTATATTTAACATCTTAGTTAAAAATGCTGAGATGCAGTACTATGGGGGAAAATGTAAAACTGTGGTTCCCTTTTATCTGTGTGACTCCTTAAGAAGCGCATTTTTAAGACACATACTCTTAAGTGGGTTTTTATTCTGTGTTACTGCTGTGGCCATGTGGCCCTCATGACTCTCAGTGTACCAGAGTCTCAGCTCCCTGAAACGTAGGGGTGAGGAGCTCTGACATCACAGCAAGATTTTTGTTCCATGAGCGCAATACTGCATCATTAACAATTTTAATGGTATGGATTTTATACCATCTGTGTATGTTTGCAAATATTAAGTTATTACATGTTTTAAAATGAGCATTTTTCATTCTAAATTTTATATGTTTGCAAATATATTTTTTTAATAAAATTTCAAAACCAAGTTTTAGCACCTACTAAATTTTCGTTGTGTTTTTATTCAATTTATAGCAATAGAAGCTTTTGAATAAGTTGCTGCACTTTGCCAGAGCCTCATACTAGTGAGATGGGGGCGGGGAGGGGGCAGTGGAGGAGGCAGCGAAGGGAGCAAAACCAACAAAGTCCACATCCACCCATTTCCAGCCAGCTGGATTACAGGCCCCACCGATGTCAGGTCTGAAAGCCTCTTGAGCACTGGCGTCCATCAAATAAGCACTTCCCTCCCTGGCAGTTAAATATTAAGTGTTCAGCTCGTACAGGTGGACATCTAAGGAACTTCGTTTACTCCCCTAAGGTTACCCCAGATAACGGGTACAATTCTAATCATGAGCAAAAACACTTAATTTTATTGAGGACCTTATAGTCTCGGTCATTTCCCAGATTTACTTAATGCCTGTTTATTGAGCTCTCGTTATGTGCCAGGTGTCTTGGATGATAAGGAAGGAAGAAGGGAAGGAAAGAGAAGGGCGGAAGGGAAGCTTAATGGCTGGTATCAGCCCAGGGTTGAGCTCAGACCTCAACCTCCTCTTCCCTTGGAGATTGAAACCCTAATGGAGAGTGGTGATTTGACCTCGGACTTCTAGAACCCAGGAGTGAGGCATTCTTAGAAGACCAGGAGAAGGTGGTTTAGAAGGTGGTCTTAGAAGACCAGGACAAACTGAGTACAGAGACTGAATACGTAGGTTACACATTGCCCTTAAAGCACAGACTCTTGGTAACTCTTAATGAAAAGCCTTCTTTTAAAAAACAAGTTTAAAAGTAAAACATGCTCATTATAGAAAATAGAGAAAAGATTAAAGAAAAAAAAGTTTAATCATACCTCTCCCTAATAATTACTGTTAACATTTTAGTATGTTTCCAAATGAAATTCTCTCTAAAATTTGTTTTACCTGCCTACCTTCTTAGAGCATATGCTAACTCTTGTTTTATGACTCTATCTTACACACACTCACACTTCACACTTCAGTCATCATTAATGCTGCCAGTAAACCAATCCCACAAGTCGTTTGGATCTAGACTGCTTTTTATAGTTTTTAGGTTACTTATGTTACCGCTGTTTGTCAAAAACTGGAATGGTCTTCTGTTTCTCCCTTGCTGCTTTTCATCTGTCAAGACATAGGAAACCAGGTAACCAGATTCTTTGGAATGTTGTGAAAAACTAAGGTGAGTAGATCGAATAAGAGGCAGAGGGTTTTTTCTTTGAAATGAAATGGATGGCGTTTGGGGTCTCGCGTAGTTGTTAATGACACTTTCACTCATTTATGGATCCTGAATAATTTATCTCTGAATAAGGAGTGTGTGAAGAAGGGATTGTTTCTGGCAGGCAAGATTTGTCTCAGAGATCTATCAGAAACCAAGCCAGTCTCCGTCTGGATGAGAAGCTGGAAATGTGGCAACCATTTTGTCACTGGGAGGGAAGCCTGCCTTAGATGAAACCAAGTCCTTGGAAGGCAGAAAGGAACAGCAGCAAGAAATAGGCCTGAAGCCCAGCCATGTTTCAGACAGTGTAAAAAGGATTATCTACATGAAACATGAAGAGTCCTAAGAGGTTTATAAAGGGGTTAGATAACTTCAAGATTCTAAACCTCTGAGAGTTTGCTAAATGGAGTTGGTTAAGAAGACAGTTGCCACCTCATGCACACTGTAGGGAACCCATGGTGAACCTGGGCTGTCCAAACAGTAGTGGGGGGCTCCGGGGTCCAAGCCACACGTGAGCCTTCCGCGTGTGTATTCTTCAGGCTCACCAGGCTAAATCAGCCAAAAGTAAAGACCACCAGTAAGGGATTTCTCATAACCAACAGAGGGAGAATACCTTGGGATATGAGATGGCACGTGACCGATGTGACGGCCCCACACCTCGCAAACATCACCATTTGTTTCAGATGAGTTTGAATAAATTTGAAGCATTATGCCACAAGTAATCTTAACTGGTATTTGTTGTACACGGTGTATGTATTCTCATTTAACCCTCTCCTCATCCCCGAGAGGTGGAGGTTATTCAGAGTGCAGCCTCAGGAAAGGGCCACAGAACGCACCCCTAATGTGCACAACACCGACTTCCTGTCAAACCCGGAAGGGGAGGGACACTCGTGATTTGGCATATGTCAGTCCATCAGTCTGAACAGGGACCCAGATGGCCCATCGGTCCAGAATGTGGCTCCACAGTCCACAGGAACCACTATTAACCAGGTCCCTGTCACCCCAGAAAAATGGGTCTGGCACTGTCTGAGCCCTGGCAAAGTCCTAAGGAGGCGTCCTCAGCAAACCCTCACCCTACCCACGCCATTTCTGTGGAATCTCTTGGGAGTGTTGACAATAGCACCCTGACTTCAGAAGCAGTTGCAGAACATGGCCCCCTATACTTTTCTTTTTTTTTTTTTTTTTGCCATCAAGCTCCATTTTGCTATTTCAAACTCTGATGTGTCCCTGCCCCCAGAGACAACCCCTCCCAGGCAGGAATCTTTCCCCTGAAAAGAGCTGGCTAATATCCTCTGCCAGCCTACCAGCACTAAGAGGCTTCCCCAGTCTTGCTTGACTTACTGGCCCTTCAGACAGGATATGAGACTCTAAAAATGGTGTGTGGGCAATAGCCCCCATTTTACTGTAGTGTGCACCAGGGGCCTGCAACCCAGCAGTCACCTCACCCCTGTTTTAAACAAAATTTTGTAATTCCCCCTTTACTCTCCTGACTTGGAATTCATAGAGAAAGTAACTTATGCCTAAACACATAATTTTAAAATAATACTCTTATTGTGATATTAAGGAGAAGTTTAGAAGTGATTTATAATGAAACGTTCCATAGTAAATACGTAAAGGCTTAGATAGCAGTTGCTGTCGAGTTGGCATGGTGACTCCATGTGTATCAGAGTAGAACTGTGTTCCACAGGGTTTTCAATGGCTGGTTTTTCAGAAGATAGTCAAGCCTTTCTTCCGAGGCACCTTTCTGTTGGCAGTTGAGTTCATTAATGTTTGCACCACCCTGCACAAACTCTCAAAATGCCCCCATAAGGAACCACTGATCTTCACTCTGACACCTCTTCCCACCCACCTAAGAGATTGCTGCTGTCCCCCAGAGAGCTGGCAGGGCAGGGCCTGTCCAGGGCCCACCCAGCATCACCTGCAGCCCCTGGCTCTCGGCCAGTCACTGCCCTGACTCACCTGGGCACCTGCCCAAAGGAGACCAAAGAGCTGTTTACTAATTAATGCCCCCAGAGGACTTTGGAGCCCTTAAATGATGGCCAAGTGGGCAATGGTTGGTGACTCAGCACCTTTGATCACCCAGCATCTCCCCAGGCTGTGTCTCAGAGAGAGGGGAAGAGAAACGTGAGTGGGTGGGCGGGAGGAGAGAGAGACACACACAGCCTCATTAGTCCCTTCATCTGACCCGTGAGGCCAGGGGGTAGCAGCTGTTCTATACCATACTTCACACACACATAAACCTCGCTCACCATTAGACCATGCACTCCACAGAAACCAGAACTGCTTGAGCCCTGCTGTACTTCAGTGGGGCACATAGTAGAGGTGCACGTCACTATTTGTTGTTATCCCATTTTACAGATGAGGAAACTGGCGATTGAGTAATCGGCCTAAGGCAATCAGCCCAAGTTCACCCAGAGAAAGAGCAGTAGAGGCAAAAGTTAAACTGAGCTTGTTCACACACTTCTCTCTGGGATTCTGGAACATGGAGAAAGCCTCTGGAGAGTTCTGCAGAGTATTTTGAAATGATGGTGGCGTTGCTCCACCTGACTGGGCAGTTGAGCAGTCCAAGGGACTGCTTCACCTGTTGTGATTATTCACAATAATCCTCTCAGGCTATTTCTCAGTCCTGGGCCAGAGGAGGGAAACAGGCTCAGGCATCCTGCCGGGACACTGGCGAAGTGGGGAAACTGAGGATCAGGGTAGGAGGTGTGGGTAGACCCAGCCCTCTTTTCCCCTCCATAGTCGTTGGCTTTGGAAAGATAGAGCTGCTTCCCAATTCACTGCCTTTAAATTTGAAATGTGTTTATTGACTCAAACCTTACCCACCCACCCATTCAAGCCAACTTGACACAAGTACCATGCTCCACCTCCTTGGAGCCCTCCCTGATCTGCAGCATCTGCAGTCAATTCTTTTTTTTTTTTTTTTTTTTAAAACTATGCTTTAGGTGAAGATTTACAGAGAAAATGAGTTTCCTATTCAATAGTTTATACACAAATTGTTCCATGATATTGGTTGCAATCCCCACAATGTGTCAGTACTCTCTCCATTACCACCCTTAGTTCCCCATTTCCATTCGTCCAGTTTTCTTGCCCCTTCCTGCCTTCCCATCTTTGCTTTTGGGCATAGGTTGTCCTTTTAGTCTCATGTAGACGATTGTTCTAAGGAGCACTTTCCTCGGGAGTGTTATTGTTTATTTATAGGCTTCTCTATTATTTGGCTGAAAGGTGATTTCTGGGAGTGGCTTCAATTCCAAGTTAGAGGGGTGTCTTAGGGCCATTGTCTTGGGGTTTCCTTCAGTTTCTATCAGAACAGTAAATCTGGTCTTTTTTTATGAATTTGAATTTTGCTCTACATATATAAATTTTTTTTTTTTTTTTTCCCACTCTAACTGGAACCTTCTAATGTGATCCTGGTCAGAGCGGTCAGTAGTGGTAGCTGGGCACCATCTATTTCTTCTGGTCTCTGGCTGGTGGAGGCTGTGGTTCCTGTAGTTCATTAATCCTTTGGACTAATTGTTCCCTTGAGTCTTTGGTTTTCTTCACTCTCCTTTTCTCCAGGCAGAAAGATACCAATAGTTGTATCTTAGGTGGCTGCTACCAAGCTATTAAGACCCCAGACGCTACTCACTGAAGTAGGATATAGAATGTTTTCTTTATAAACTATGTTATGCCTGTTGACCTAGATGTCCCCCAGTTGGCAGTGGGTTCTGTGTACAGGTTGCAGGATGGTGCTGCACGTACACGTGGCTTCTACGGGCCTGTGACCTCCTTA